GCCAGTGGCAAAGAGAGAAGTATCGGGAAGAGGAGAAGAAGAATGCCACTCTAGTGTACCAGGGAACAAGCCTCCCAGAGTCAAGTTGTCGAGAGAAGAAAACCCACGGCTCGAGGGACTCGCGCGGCATCGGGAAGGAAGGCCGCGGGCAGATGGAGAACAGGGAAGGACAGACGAGGTCAACGCTTCCCTCGCGTGGAGAAGGAAGAGCTCGCACGGCTCGAGATCGAGAAAGAGAAAGGGCCAGACGCGCGAACGGGAGAGCTGCGGGAGACAAAGCTCGAGCGCAGGGGAGACGGCTAGGGATTAAAGAGGAAAGAAAAAAAAAACAGTTAACTAATATATATATAAATATATAAATTAAAAAGTTAAATTCTTATTTTCTCAAGGATCAAGTTTTTGGTTCTGTCGCAAAGTAAGGAAACATATGTGAAAAATATTATCAAAGACATTGTTATACTGTTGCATATAAACAGTCAGGATCAAGTTTTTAGCGGCGTTGCCGGGGAAAATTTCAAAAATTTATTGAAAGCAAAATTTCTATTTTAGAAAGCCTTATTTAAACTTTAAAAGTTATTATAGGAATATCTTATTGTAGTATTTTATTTTATGTTGGTGTATGCATAGTTCAGGTTCTGAAGGACTACTACCTTACAATTCTGAATTAGAGAGAACTGTTAAAAAATTAGAAAAACCAAAAAAATTAAAAATTTTGAAAAATATAAAAAAATTTTCTGAAATGGCAAACCAAAATGTTCGAAATGCTAAAATTCATCAAGAATATAGACCCTTACGAGATTATATGAACCCTATTATAGATGAACTTCATTGTAGTATTCAAAAATATACTATAGTTGCTAATTCATTTGAACTTAAACCTGGTATATGTTTACTTTTGTTTAACTGGTTTGGATAGTAGCATGACTGGAATGGTGAATAAGTTTGTTGAGACTTAATTGGATTATGCTTACATGACTAGTGAAAAGAAAGTTCTTGTTAAATTTTCATGCTTCTTATAATTATCATCATTAGCCTTGTTCCAAATATTTAGATTTTTACATGTACTATATTGGTCTCACTGCTGCCTTGCTTTTTTTTGGTTTAGACTATTGGACAGAAAGTAAATGATTGCAATTCGTACCAGTTTTTTTATCAGCGTTGAAGTGAGAATGTAATGAAGCAAGTGCCAGTTTACATATGATACAATCTCTCCATTTATCTATTTATTTATCTATTTATATATGCGTATCTAATCATCGAAGGTTCTTCTCAGTGTGTACATTGCACTTTCAATATGTTTTTGAATTGCTGTTTGGCATTTACTTTGGATATTTGGTAGCATTCTGCATATTTATTTTCCTTTCACAATTGTGTAAAATTCTGCCTTTGTAATATTCTTTCTTCTTGCAGGTTTATGTTGCTGGAAGCCTATTAATGGGATTGATTTCTGTTATACTCCTTGTGGAGAAATCTCCTATGCTTTATCATGCTTATGCTGCAATGACAGTTTTTTTGTGGACACGAATTTTTAGTAAAGTTAATCTATTGAAAGTGATATGGAAACTACTCAGCAAGAGACCTTTAAAATCAAATTTAAATCTGCTAGCGACTTTTGCTCTTACTTTCTTTATTCTTGAGCTCCTGGTGAGGTTTTTTAAATGCCAACTTTTGTTTAGTTTAGTTATTTGAAAGTATGAGTTTATATCATGGAAGTTTAAAGTTTATAATTGTATTTGTTATAGGTGACTAGCTTCTTCGAGAGGAAGCTGTATACTTGGTGCTTTCTGTTTGTGGGAGTTTTTACTGCAATTTTTATGGTTAAATTTGCTCCACAGAGATTTCTTATGGCAGCATATGTTTTGGTGGCCTGTTGTTTTTTATCTATATTTACTCTAATGCCAGCAGAAATTCCTGAGAATACCCACTTAGTGTAATTATCTTCCTCTTCATCTAATGAATATTTTGTCTTTTTTTTCCCCGAGAAGTTGCATGCCTGAAATGTTTCTACTTCTTCAGTGGTTCAATTCAAACCATCTACCAAGTAATTGTTTGTTTGATGCTGATTTTAGATTTTGGTTCCTCTTGCCTCTATCAAAATGAAGGTTCATATATGTTTTTGGTAACTGCTTTGCAAATTTATTCCCCCTCAATGTCTTTTAGAACTCATCACAAAGAGATTGGTGGTAGTGTTTAAATTGGAGGTACCAAAATTTATTCCCTCTCAATGTCTTTTAGAACTCATCACAAAGAGATTGGTGGTAGTGTTTAAATTGGAGGTACCAACTATCTCTTGAATACTATGTCCACTTCTCTTTTCACATTATCACTCATTATCAGTTGTATTATTGTCCTTCTCACTATTTATGGGGGTTCACTCATATCCTCACTCTATGTGTAGTATTAATATGACGCCTGTGAGTATGATAACCACCAATTTTCTTTTAATGTTTTAACATTTCCTATTAGTCAGGCTCCCTTTCTTTTAGTATATTCAAACATATGGTGTCTAAGTATTGTATTAACTTGTGTGGGGTTTCAATACTTTATCTTTTTTTATGTTGACCACACTAGAGTTTCTTGGATATGCTTGTTAAAATGCTTGTTCGAAGTCGTTAATGTCTTAAAAAATCTTTACCAGGAAACAAATATTTAATTTACAATTTCTTTTAAAAGTTTTTCATTTTGATAATGCATTGGAATATATGCAATCTACTTTTCTTTCTGTTTGTATGCTAAAAATGATATTATTCATTAATTATACTGCTCTCATACCTATCAAAAAATAGTGTGATTGAGCACAAATACCGACATCTTCTGAATGTTGCCCGCCCTTCACATTTTTACATGAACATTTTACAATATTTTGGAGATATCATTCTAACATCCTACTACGCATATCCATAAGTAGTTTCAATGGGCCATTTTCTCTTCTTTTTTCTTAGAAAACTATATATATCTGTTTGACTCCTCAAATCTTTGGATATGTTTGTTTTTCATCTACTTTTTTTTCCGAATAGGATAAATTTTATATTCGTACTATTATTTGTATTTATTGTATCTTTTTGGGTCATCAATAAACTCAAAAAGTTGTCATTTATTATGATCCATCAAACAATGACCATTATATTTTCGCATATGTTACCTTTCATGAAACTCCTCTCGCCATTTTTCTATCCCCTCCCCTAGACAAATTTTTTTCCAATATTCCATTTCCATCTCTTGCTCCAGTACTTTCTGATACCGGAATTTAACAAACACTCAAGGAAAACCTAAAATGTCAACAAAACAACCACCCATCAATAGAACTTGGGTTAGATCTAGGGTGTTGGTGGTGCTGGTCAGGGTTTGGCCATCTTAGTGGTGACAGGGGGAACAACTAGCAAGCTAGAAATAGTCGTATGAGAGCTGTTCTGGGTGGCGGCAATAAGGAGGAAGGGGTTAGACAGGATGGCAGCAAGGTGAAAGCGGCGAGGGTGAAGGGAATCGATGCGGGAGAGAGTGGGGGAAGGGTGAAAGGGGATACACACCACCTGGAAACCAAGATATAGTTGGAGCACCACTTGGAATCCTAGGATACAAAACTAGAAAGGGAAAAAGAGATGCCAACGGCTGTCCTAAAGCAAATCACAAAAAAATTAAATCCTAAACACCAACAAAAGTAAATATATATTCCTAGATAAGTAGGACTGTGCCTCATCTTAAAAGGAGGCATCAATCCCAAGACTAGAGGGTCGGCTAGCCCTCAAAAGCCCTGGACAAAACCGATCCAGGAAAAGAAGACGTTTCACGCCACTTTCTTCCACTCCACTGCATGTGTACACTTATAGGACACAACAAACCCCCTTTATAATCTTTGATCATTCCATCATTTATGGCTTAGCATTTGATCATAATCTTTTATCTCCATTTTCGAATTGTTTTTCTAAAAGATATATGATAAAGTACATGCCACCTAATGCACTCTAGTACCTCAAACAATCATCTGGTTTCTTCTTTTTGTAGATTTGTAATTTTTAGACTATTGCTCTAATTTGACTATATACATCAATATATATTAAACTAAGGGCTCTCCTTGTATTATGTACATTTCTCCTCATTTCATAATGAATTTCTTGGTGTGGTGTGGCTCTGTGACTTTCTCGTTCTCGAGTTTTTTCACATTAAATCTTTGTGTTCTTTTTTCTGGGATTTCTTGTTTGTGTTTCTCTATTCAATTATTTTGTTTTGGATTCCTTGAAGTGGTTTTTTTTTTCCATAATCTTTGGAAGTGAAGATCTCCCAACATTGAGGATGTGCAGGAGATTAGCTTCCAATAGCTTCCAACTAATGGGGCACGATGCTTGTGGTTCGATAGGTGCTTTAGACTAAGGCTACGATCGAGCGGCAGTAGTTTCACCATAATATTTTTTATACCCATTTCACTGTGACAAAAAATCTGTGCAACCTTTTCATCAATGGAGGTAGTAATGAGAATGTGATGTCTACACAACTGGTGTACAAGTTGAGTCTCAATACTCAGAGACATTCCAATCCATGTTCCCTGACTTACTTGAATGAGGGAAATAGGGTTTGCATTGATAGGAGATTCCTCAGAGAGTTTTCTATTGAGCATTAGTTGCATGACTAGGTGTAGAGTGATGTTGTACCCATTGACAACTGTCACATTATGTTGGGGAAATCATGACAGTTTGATCACAAGATTTAGCATGATGGGTTCAAGGACACTTAATCATTTATCAAGAATGGAAATCACATAATTCCTATACCTTCTGCAGAGTTCGAGGCTATAGATGCTCTGCCATGAGAGAGGTGCCAATGGGATCAATTTTGGTGATTTTAGAGGGCACTGGGACAGAAGAGTCGATATCGAAAGTAAGACAATCACTAAGAAGAGAGTTTCAATATATCTTAATCGACAATTTACAACGAGGCCTGCCACTATTAGGGGAGGCTCAACTTGTCTTCACTTCAGAGAGTAATGAGCCAATCTTAAGCTACTTTTAGAACACTCTGTGGAGTACGCTTGGTGCGAAGTTTCAGTTCAGCTCATCAATGTACTCACAGATAGTTGGACAAATAGAGATGGTTACTCACAATTTGGGAAATCTTCTTAGATGGTTTGTGAGACAATGCATCTGATTGTGGAATATAGGCGCTTCTAGATAAGCGGTCGAAGGCCCTCCAATCCCGCGAGATTACGAGAGCTCCATCACCTTCAACGTGACCGACCTGATGCAATATCATGTGGAGTCAAAAGCTTTGATAGCTGAGGTTGAAGCTCTATGAATCTGGATAGATTGACACGGGGCTATGTGACATCTTGGACCGGTTTGACCTAGGTTGAGGGAGTATCAGTCAACCCTCCTTGGCTTATGATTGCTGCCCAATTGGAGTGAGGCCCACTTCTAATATTAGTGGGTCTATTTAAGTGTTTCTTTTATGTTTTGGGTTTAGTTTTTGATTATTTTGAGTTTGTAGAGATGCAGACTCTCTTTATCCATTCTAGATATGTATCCAAGGGTTCTGAGTGGTGCTCAGGTTGTATCTTGTTAATGAGGTGATGTGTATAACCTACTATCCTTCCCTACTCTTTTCTGCATCGATTTCCTTCACTATCGCCGTTTTTCCCTTTGTTGCCACTACTAAAAAAATAACAATTATTCTGCACACCCCACCCCCCTCCGCCACCGAAGAAAAAGAAAATCGCTACTACCATCCAACTCAAAAACTAACAGTTTCCTGCTATTCTTTTTGTTATCCAACGCCATGAAACTACAACATACTACTCCGGCTTGTTGCGTCCCCTCACCTGCTATTAAGATCAAACTCTAGTTCTAGTGTTGCGTTATTTTTTTGTTGCAATTTTAGATTTTCTTGTTGTTTGTAGTAATTTTAAACTTTGAATTTAGTAATAATATTTATTTTCCCTTTGGTCTTTATTAAATTATGATATTATGGAGGAATGCTTCAGACCTATTGTGTGATAGAAAATATCCACTTAGAACTAAAGGAAAATTTTATGTGTTGGTGGTGAGACCTGCAATTCTTTATGGTGTAGAGTGTTGGCCTGTAAAAGAGAAACATAAAATTAAGTGTTTTTGAGATGAGAATGCTTGGGTGGATGAGCGACTTTATTTCATTTAGAGACAAAATGCAAAAGGAATGTATACGTGAAAGGGTTGGTGTAAGTCTAGTGGCTGACAATATTAGAGCGAGTCGTCTTAGATGGTTTGGTCACATTAAACGTCGACCATATGAGGATCCAACTAGAAGAGTTGATGTATTAGATTTGACTTATGTTAAGAATGGTAGAGGTAGACCTAAAAAGACTTGGACATGTTTAAAAAATCATCTAAATTTATTAGAATTAAATGAAAATATGACACTCAATAGGACAAAATAGAGAAAAAGGTTTCATATGGCCAACCCCACTTAGTTGGATAAGGGGAACAACATATTAAGCTATACTACTTAGGGTCTGTTTGGGGCAGCTGTAGCTTATTTAGCTTATCCTGATAACCTGCTGATAAACAGCTTATCCTGATAAGCTGGATGGTTGTTTGGTTTGTGTGTTTGGAAAATAGCTAATTTTAGATAATTTTGGATAAGCTATTAAGCTGTTTGGTTTGTGCGTTTGGAAAACGACTGATTTGCAGTTTTTTGGAGAAATGACCATTCTGACATGCAATTGTTATGCTATTTGCAACAAAAATGCAATGGCTACACATAAGATATCTCAGAACTAATAAAACCCCTTTATAGCAGTACAAAAAATGATATACACCTTAGTTAATAGTGAATATCAGGAAATCTAAAAAAAAAAGTAATAATATGTTAAAATTACAAGCAAAAGAATGATAATATTCATTTTAAAATGTAGAAGCACGTCACGAGGAACGTTGCTCTGTTGAGACACCGTAGAATCCCGAGCAACATTGTCCGGTTGGGATACCGTCGAACCTTGAGCGACGTTCTCTGATTGAGATACCGTCGAATCCTGAGCAACGTTGTTTGATTGGGATAATGTACAATCAGAGGGATTGCCTGTCCATCTGAAGAACTTACAGCCGTCCGGTCCGTCTGCCCACTGCGGGCTCCTGTAGAGATGACGTCTGTAGCTATGTTGCCAACGTGACATGAGTAACAAAGATGGCGGTCCGCAACAGCATAGCACCGCACGGAGTGCTCTGAAATCCTGAAGCTCATCTGATTACAATTATTCAAGAGATAGCATGTTAGTCATAAAATTAGATGAAATAAAAAATGTTAAAATTGAAAATAAGAAACAATATTGCATAAAAAAATGAAAATCTGATCAAAAGAAAAATAGCAGGCGGGAGTACAAAAAAAAAAATCCCATAAAAAAAATAATAAAAAACTCAAATATAAACTAAAGAAAAAGTAATCTCTGAAAATTTTCAAATCCAAAAATATACAGAAAAAAATATACTAGATATAAAATGTTAAAAATAGCAGGTGTGAGGCCTGAGAGAAGCAACTAACCATCCAACGAGTCATTCACAACATGCAGACAGTAGACCTTGTAAAAAGATGAGTTCTTGGTTTCCTTTAACCCCCGTCGGACCACTGTCCAGTGCCACATGTGCATATCACAAAAAAAATGTCATCGAGGAGATACTTATATATCGATGCAGAGCTGGGAAGAGAGGACCTCGGTTGTCAAATACTTACAGAGCACAGCGATGTTGGATCGCGGAGGAGAGAATGAGAACTCCAATCGAAAACTAGGGCACGAGATGCAGGGGAGAGGGAGACGAGGACAGGGAAGATGATCGAAACCTAGGGCATTCGCTGTTTTCCTGTGACCTCCTTCCATTTTCTGATTTTATTGAAAATCAGAAGATCCTCGACTCCCCTATGTCGTCGCTGCTGTATTTGTTGCAGCCACAAAAAATCTTCCATTTGCTGTTTTCCTACGACCTTCCACTCAACCGCCTCCCACTTTGCTGTCATTTTTTTCCTCCATCTACCCTACTGCTGACACCTCCCTACCACCTACCACATTGCTACCGACTGCTTCCAATCTCTTACCTCTCGCTACCGCCCCTTTTAGACTTTTGTCGTCTTATCACAACTATTTCTGCAGCCACTTTCACAGCTTTTTCTCCACCATCTACCTTCCAACCAACCGCCAGCTTGTGGATTTTTGACCAACAATTCCTCCATACCTATTGCTTCCCTCTTAAAATTCAGCACCACCATTCCCAACCTGCGCCCTAGTTTGAGTTGTGGTGTATCTTTTGTCATTTTCTATTTCCGAATGCTTTAGTTGTAATCTAATTTTGAATTCAACGATAAATATTTGGCTAATATTGTTTTCCTATCACTGTTCAGGTTAACTTCGGTATCATAGATCTCCTACAAGCTTCAAGTAATTAGTATTTTTTTGTTGAACATCTTAGATTTTCTTTAGACATTGGTTGGTATGCATCTTCTGACATCTATCTTGAAAAAAATGGTCGTATTTTGCATCATATATTCGTTGTTCTGTATTTTTTGCAGCTGTTTCTATTGTTTTTCTATTGTTTGATGGGTACATTAATGAAATTCATTTAATCAACTTCATAATGTAGCGTCGCTAGTGGAGCTTTTATTATCCTTGTGGCACTGTCTTCAATTTTGTTTGAAGCAAAAAGTGAAGGCGACAATTTTAAGCAACTAATTGCTCAGTCTGATAGACATAAGTTGAGATTTCCAGTTCTATTCTATGCTCAGGTACACAATTCATAAACTTCCCTTGAAATCCAAGCATACTTTTTGTTATCTGGATAGCCAAGTAATATTTTTTCTTTACTTATTATTCTATTAGGTCCTTTTAGTTGGGTTATCTTCCGTGATGGTGATATTATCCACCAGCCATAGAGCTGAGAAAAGAGAGCTGCTTGCGATACACCAGTTTGTTAATTGGTTAATTGCTGGTGATTTTCTGATCTCCGTTTTTGTATCTGCTCTTTAGCGTTTACTGTCTGCTAAAAGTGTTTAGTTTTTGTTATTTGTAGCATTAGTACCGCATTATGATATGTGGTATATATTTTGTTTTTGAGGCATTTACATACATGGTACATAATTCTTATTTATTTAATTATCGCACACCTAAACTTTTATATTTACACTCATAGTACCCACATCTTTAATATCACATAAAAAATAGCACTATTATATCCCTTTTTTTGCATAGGTTTAAATCACCAATGTGCTATGCATCTTAATATGAAGGTGTTGAGATTAAATACATAAAAATTGTGATACGTATGTAAATTTTCCCTCTGTTTTTTTATCCCTCAACACTTTGCCATTTGCTTCTGGCACACTAATATTGTGTTTTGCGTCTTTATTCTGCTCTTTTGTATGTTTTGTAAATCTCTACTAAAATAGGTAGTCTTTAATTTATTAATCTATAGAGGTTATTATCGTTAAACCCAATTGTATGGTTCTTACTTTGGTGCCTGTAGAAAGATTGAATTGTTATTGTTTCATTTGGAATGGCTGCAGTAAATCTATTTGTGATATTAATTTAAGATAATATGAAATCTTCTGTAAAGTTTTGACGGAAAGAATAAAACTAAGCGGAACGAATAAAACTAGACGGAAAGAATGAAGCTAAAAGGAGTGGTATAATTAGTCTGATATTATACATCAACATTTTATAGCATATTTTGATTCTTAGCCTCTTAACATTGCTTTTACATGCAAGTTAGCCAAAATGATCTTTGGTTTCTTTGTTTTTATGCCATGTTTGTTTAAAAGAGTATATGTTTTCTATTGAAATTTCTGTGGGGCAAATTGGTATATTTAGTGGGTGAGTTGGATAGCTCAAATTCCTTTGGGTTTTTGGAGAAGTGCTTTGGTGAGACACATCTAGATCTTTTAGTAAGTAGATTAAAATTTTATTTTCTTATAGCTTCACCAACAACAGTCTTTTGTTTTTTTGGGACCTCATGTGCAAATGCTCCTTTGGTTAGTTAACCCTCCCAAGCATGCGTGAGATCTCATGTAAGGAAATCACTAGGCTTTAATCAATGTAATGATATAAGTCTTATGGTAGTTGCATAGCTTTACTTCTTGTGGATTTACATACATACCACACAATTTTTTTGTTTTTGCATGTCTAACATCTAAAATTTAATGTTTATGCATATAATACTCAAATCCTTAACATCACATAAAAATACTACTAATACTAATTTCTAAAAAGTAAAATACTTCTTTTCATGTGTATGTTGGGATGTGATTACGACACTTGCATATGTAAATAACAGAAATTTAGATGTTTGATACGTAAATTCATAAAAATTGTGTGGTATGTAAGTAAAATTCTCTCTCTTTTATTCAGTTAACAATTCATGAGTCTCATGTTAATTTGTTTATTTGTGCTTGAGCTATTAGGAGGCATGTGGAGATGGTGGTAACTTTCGTTCATCATGAAGGATTTTATTGAGTGGACCCTAGAACAAAAAGCCAAGGAGCCTTGGTTAGAGGCTGTTAAGTGCTTTTTTAGAAGCCCTACATTCCCTCATCTGAGACAACCCTTGATTCATACGTGGTTTGACAATATCAGATTTTCTAAGAGGATTACAAGCATAAGAGCTTGACAAGATGCCGTTTAGAGGTATAGTATGTCGTAATGTTAGCTAGACACATCAACTTGGTTACATTGGTTTGAAGGCATAGTATATCTCATATCTTATGATAGCTTAGAGACTTGTTGACTTGGGTGATATAGTTGATTTTTCAAAATGAATCTCATGCTTTCTTAAAGATGGGAGTCAGAGGCATAATTTATAAGTTGTTACTTGGAGGTCTTGTAGGTTGAAGCAACAATGCATGCAAGCCTTGGACAGCTTACGGACGTTTTAACACGAGGCATGGTTGAAGTTGTAGAATGAACCTCGAGCTTTTCCCAAGAATGGGGAGAGGCATACTTTATAAATAGTTATTTGGAGGTCTTGTAGTTTGATGCAATTTATATATGCATTCTTTGGGATGAATATGATCATTTGGTGCCACGTTAGAAGGGACAACTGCAGACTCTGAAAATTTCTATTGCACCGGACTCTGCTTTTTGTGTTATTGTTGTGTTGAGAGCTTTAAGGGTGAATTTTCAGAAGGCAGATTGATTTATAGTTAAGACACTACCCAAAGATTTCACATTCATATTGCGAGGACTTTATGATCTTGTTTTTGAGGCTTCCTAAAAGGAGAGCATTTTCGATTAAGACTAGTCATTTTAGAGTTGAATATTTAACATATAATTGCAACAGACATACATCATAGGTTGTAAAATTTATGCAGACATACATCATAAGTTGCAAAATTTATCATTATAAGTTAAAAGCAAATGGTGGGGGAAATAATGACGAACCCAGTGAAGATCCCATGGTTCTGTCATCCCGGGTGGTCATGGTCCCTGGCTTAGTCTGCGGAGGTAGTCAACCCGACCTAAATGAAGGATCCTTATCATCCCATGGGTTGTGTCGTCCAAGGGAACCTTGTAAATTTGGGGTGGATGTCTCTAACAAGATAAAATTAAGTTGACATTGACCAATATATGTATTTTTGTCAATCAATTATATCCTTATAGTTCACAACTCAAAGGGTAAAAAATCGTTGGAGATCATACATGTTGCATTTGTGACCGTAATATAATAGTATCATTTTGTGGCAACCAACCGGTTAGAGAGCTCTGATTGTAACATTTTGTGGTGTCATTTTGGGGCTAAACCTTGGGGATAGAGGATTCAGACCACGCCTTTACTGGCGTGAAATTACTTTGAGTGAATATAATGATACACTTGATGTAATATTAGCTCTTTTTACAAGCTGAAGTTAATAAAAAAATCTGTCATCCTCAACAAACTGTTGTCGAGGGTGGATGAGATTTGCTTTTAAGTTTTTAAGTGACTAATTTTACTTGAGTTTTATAATCAAAACGATCATTATCGGGAATTTAAACATTTAAACTTTTATATTTGGAGGGCATTTGAGTTTGTTAGTTTAGTTTTTTTTTTTTTTAAGATATAAGCTATGTCGACTCCTGTCCTTGTAAGGAAGATAGTCGAACCAGTTGATTTGGAATTATAAATTCTTATCTTTATGATTTAGACATTTATGATTAAATTTACTAGACTTGTGATATCTACACTCAAATCAAAACACTATCTCAAGACTTGTCATGAAATTACCCAAACCTTTCTGAAATTTTGTGGATATTAGGGCTTTTGGAACACATGTAAAACTTCTTTTTCTTTTAGCTTTTTAACGTCTGCCTTATGTTCGCTTGTAGGTTTTATTACGAATCCGGTGACGATATTTTCAAATTTCAAAATCCCTAGATTTGAATTATTTTTGAATTTTGTGAGCCTAAGTTTGAAAGCCCGAAATTCCTAACTTTCTTTATGACCCTTGGAGCCTAAGTTTCAAAAGCCCAAAATTTTAAATATTTTTTGAAACCTTAAGATCTTGAAATTTTAAAACAAAGATCCTAGATATTTTTGAATCCTAGGATTCTAAATTTTAAAAACTCAAATTTCCTAATTATTTAAATTCAGATGATTCGCATTTTACATTATTTTATAAGTTCAAAAACTGATTTCGAATTATTTTTTAGTCCGGAACACCCAAAAATTTGGTGGTTTATCTGTGTCAACCCCTATTAGGGGCACCAGAAGAATGTCTGCCTTCCGAACTGCCTTAAAAGACTCGTTGGTAGGTCAGTTCTGCCACGTTGAAGATAGCCGAGATATTGTAGTCTCATGGCTAGTCAGTTGTATTGGCATTGTTGTCCAATTTCTTGAGAATCCTGAAATGTCCTTTTGTTATGGGTTTGAGTTTGCTACAAGCTCACACTTAAAAATTTTTCTTTTTTCAACCGAGTCCACACCAGATCTTCATCTTGAAAAGTTACCCTTTTCCTAATTTTATTTGCTTGTGCTTGGTACTTGCAGTTCTGCCTAATGATCTCCTTTCTTCCTCCTCGTGAAGCTTCTGAATCTCTTTCACCCAATTCTCAGCATCCTCACTAATCTTTGATGTCAGCAGAAGTGGTAACATGTCAAGTCAAGTGTCCCTTAGTTTGACTCACGAATCTACTATAAAAAAACTTGGCTTGAGCCAGATTCAAATCCCACTATTTAATAATCTTTCCCGCAAAGCACCTCTGAAGGTTCTCTAGGCTTTTGTTCACTACCTCTGTTTGTGGGTAAGTTGTTGAACTGAATTGAAGCTTCCCTCATAGGGTCCTCCAGAAGTGACTCAGAAACTTGACATCCCTGTCAAAGGTAATGGCATGTGTATCTCGTGCAGTCTCTGAAGTATAAGTTGGAAACATTTGATGCATCCATGATCCGGTGGCATGGTACGAAATGCGCCATATCTTAGAATCCTTCGTCTGGGGGTGAGCTATTGAGCTAAATTGAAGCTTAATGTCTAGCTTCCTCCATAGGGTTCTCCAGAAGTGACTCAGAAACTTGACATCTTTATCAGTAATGGCCCGGATATCTCGTGTTGTCTCACAATCTTCCTGAAGTATAAGTTGGAGACATGATGCATCCACGTCCGGTGGCAGGGTCCGAAATGTGTCATATTCGAGAATAGATCTACCACAAATATCACAAAATTCTTGTTCTACCGTGTCCTCGGGAGACCCACCACAAAATCTATGCTAACATCCACCCACAATGCCTCTAATATTAGTAATGGGGTGTATAATTCTTCATTTTGTCCCCCGGTATTGGCCACATGACTCTAGCACTGTCTGACATGCCGCACCACATCTCTCGTCAATCGATGTCAAATTAAGTGTTATCTCACAAATGCGAGTCTTTTCCCTGCCAAAGTGTCTTGCCAAGCCTCCATTGTGGCTTTTCTAAATGATAGAATTCCTAAGAGAATATCTAGAAATACATAACTTATTCTGGTAGAACAAGTAGCCATCAGTTCTGTGGTATCGCTCAGTAGACTTCTCCTACACTTCTTCCAGATCCCTCTGAAATCTTCGTCTATCTCGTATAGCTTCTTTATTACCTCAAAGCTTACGACTCGTATATGCATTGAAGTGATTGATAAGTGATGGTGGTTCATTGCATCTATGTTCACCGTTTTGTGCTTAAATATGAACTGGAACGACGCTAAGAACATCATCGAAGCTGCCTGGTTGCCCTTTAGTTTACTCTATCTCTTCAAGAATTTTAAAGCCTCATGATCCGTGAAAGGGTGAACTCGTTCGTCAGTATGTAGTGACTCCATTGATTAAGAGTTCTCACAAACACATAGAACTCCTTGTTGTATGTTGACTATTTCCTTATGGACTCGTTCAACTTCTCATTGAAGAATGTTATGGGTTGGCTTCCCTAGGTCGAACAACTGAGTGAAGTCGAATAATGCCAGAATTGGTTTCTGAGTCACATTCTCCTCCAGTGTAAATTGACCTAAGCTTCATCTGCCCACTAGAATTTCCCTTTTTCTAGATTTTGTTCAGAGGGGTTGTGATAGTGCTGAATGATGCTAGCTTTAAAAACTATGTAAGCTCTGTGAAAGACCGAGGTGCATTTCGACCCACAATGGACTTGATTTTTGCAGTATTCATCTAAACATGCAGTAAACACAATATACCCCAAAAAACATGTTAGTGTTGTCAGGATGTAGCACTTTTTTGGATGGGCATATAGCCTGTTTGATTGTAAAATTTTGAATATTATTCTCAGGTGCTGCAAGTGCTCCTCCTTAGATCGGTTGTATACCGGAATATCATCAAAATACACCACTATGAATCTTATGATATGAGCTCAGAAAAATTGATTTATCAACCTCATGAACACATTAGGTGCGTTAGATAATCCAAAAGGCATGACTGTCCACTCATAATCCATCTCGGATCTTGAAAACAGTCTTCCACTCATCCTCTGACCTCATCTAGATCTGGTGCTATAGCTACGTAAGTCGATTTTCGAAAAGACATTGACTTCGTGCAACTAATCCAAGAGATAGTCTTGATGAAGCATGGAGAACCAATATTTCATTATAATGTTGTTGATGGCCCTACTGTTAATGTACATTCTCCACGGTTCTTCTTCTTGGGTACCATCAGAGTGGGGGCAACACACGAACTTATGCTCTCTCTGACCAAACCTCTAGCGACGAGATCATGTACTTGCACTATAACTCCTCGTACTCTTCAGGCCTCATTTTGTAGGTAGGTCGATTCGACAACACTAATTTGAGTATGAGATCTATGGCGTGTTAAATGTCTCTCAATGGCGATAATTCCTCTGGAAGAATGTCGATCATCACGTTCTGGAAGGCACATAGCAGTGGTTGTACAGGTACGGGGATCTCAACCTTCTCCCCAAATCCCTCTAATAAGACAAAAGGCATGGCCACTGAAGCTTCTCGAACTGATTGCATGAAGGTGAATCTTGGGACTACTGTCTCTGTGATGTCTACTCTCGCCTCCTTGACTGGTAAAAGCATGATGTATCTCCCATCTTTTTTGAATGAATAAGTATTCTTTAATTTGTCATGTTGGGTCTTGCGGTCGAACTGTCATGGCCTTCCCAACAGAATATGACTAGCTTTCATAGGGACTACGTCCCATCACACTTGCTCCTGTAACTGATCTCTGATAGAAAACTCAACCAAGTGTTATTGATCCACGTGTATTTCGTATCCCCTTTTCAACCAGGTAAGAGAGTGAGGCTGAGGATGCTTCTGTGTGGCTAACCGCAGTTTCTTCACCATTAATGTGGACACTATATCCTTACAACTTTCACCGTCGATAAGCAGACTGCAAACTTTCTCCTTCACCTTACACTTGGCGCAAAAAATACCGTGCTTCAGCCATGAATATTCCTTCTCCAACTCCGTCTGTAGCACTCTTGTATGACTAACATCTCTCCCTTGTCCCCGCGGAGCTAAAGTTCCCCACTCTGGATCCTCTTCCGCTTCCTCTTCCTCTTCCTCCACTTCCTTGACGAGCCCTACTCCGTGAATGAAACAACTTGGCTTGTGGGTAGTTGGAGTCTATGCGTTCGTTGCCCTGACATCTGAAATACCTTATGGCAGACACTGTACGGGGCGAGCTCTCCTTTTCTAGTTTCTTTACAGTCAGATGTGTCTCATCACTTTCTTCTCCGGTCTTCCCAACTCTTCCAGAGGTACCGTTGTCTGCAGCTGCAGGTGATTGTCTAAATAGGATGGTTTTCTGAAAAAAAAAGGGTTGATGTCTGCTTGTTTTTTGCTATCTTTTCACCTTCAAAGCTAAGGTTTGGATATCTCTTAGTGACGAATAGGGTTGCAATTGTACAATATTGCTGATAGCGGGCTTCAGACTTCACAGATAACGGACTATGGTATGTTCCTTTAGCTCGACCAACTTATACTTTATATACAATGGGTCAAACTGTGTCGTGAACTGCTCCACTAATAGGCTTCGCTGCAATAGGTGGTGGAGTCTTAGAAGCATATCCTAACCGTAATGAGGCGGCAGGTTTTTCTTCCACATCTCTTTCATCTTCTACCACTTGGAAATCTTGTCACTGCCCTCTCTCTCTCTCTCTGTCACTGCCCTCTCTCTTTCTCTGCAAAATTTCCCACCACAAGGAGTCATTCTTTTTTCAGTTTGATGGCCGCAAGCTTTCCTCTTTTATCCTCTAAAACTTCTTCGTACTCAGATTCTCTCAATTGACTGCAACCACTTGATAAAGTCGTTGGGATTCATACCTCCATCGAACTCCGATAGATCTACTTTGATGTCAAAATCTTTTTGTCCTCCATATGTTTTACTCTTCTCTCGGTTTCCTCTGATACTGAATTCCAAAGCGTCGGTGTCCGTCTTTCTTTTCACTGATGTCTTCTCTATGGAACGGATTCAGATCATGTTTGAGGGTAATATTCCCTGGGTTCTGTCATCAATCTCCCCAAGCCTTAGTAGTAGCCGACAGCTTTTTTGTTGTCTCTTTTTGGGTAAGTTCCGACATGTCTCTTTGGTAGAATTGCTAGGGTTTAGAATTTGGAAGAGGGTATTGAGGATAGGAAAGAAAATTTTTGGAGTGGAGAGGGTTTGTGTGTGGTGGACTAAGAAATCTTAGGATGAGATAAGGGTTAGACTAGCTATGATCCCAATTGATACCAGAGTTAATCAAAAACACTCTAAAGCCATATTACTTTTCTTATGGCCAAATAACACTCTAATCTTTAACATCACATATATAAAGGTTTGCTCAAACACCAAACCATCAACATAGAGGAAAACCTAAAAGCGCCATCTCAAGCACCAAATCACCAACAAAGATTAAGACTGAAAGGCTCAACAAGGAAAACAACTAGGTAAATCGAGAAACTTAATAGGAAAAGTTGCATACCACCTCAAGCACTAAACCGCCAACAGGTAAACGAGAAGCTCAATAGGGAAAGCCGCATATCACCTCAAGCACCATATCACCAAACCACCAACAGGTAAACAGGGAAGCTTAACAGGGAAAACAGGGTAAAACAAAAAAAAAATATCGAACCACCACCACAAAGGACAATCGAGAAAGAAAGGAGAAGAATACTACATACAGAGAGGAGCTACAACAACGAAGACGAAGGAAGGGGAAAGGGGGACAGAATCAAGATTTTTCCCTAAAGCCACAGCGAGAACTAATGAAGGGAGACGAGCCCGAAGAAGGGTATTTTCGGGGACTCATTGAGTTATTTGCCGAATTTTAGTGGGATTCATTAGTACTTTCATACTTGGAACAAAGTAATAACTGCGAACCGGAGGGCTAAGGGTGCATTTCTGGTTGTCATTCCGAAGCCACACATCGTTGAAAAACACACAAAAAGCGCTCTACCAAATTGGTGTTGAAGTGCTTTTTAAACAAAAGGTCTGGCGAATCACCCTCCTAAACACACTCTTAGACGTGTTGAGCTGCTCTTGCATGATCCCACATCCGCAGTCCATCGTTGTCATCATGTTCATTCGAAGAAGTCAACATTTACTAAACAATATTGATGCAACCACCTAAATTTAACCGGTCCCCTCATGCTTTTGTTGTTAACAAGTGCTAGTTTTTCTCTGCATATCCTGTTGTGCTTTCCTTTCCATGGCTATATTTTGGTACTTTTCAGTTACTCTTCTTGCTTGGTTTTGTTTTTTCTCATTGATTTTATTAAATTTTGCAAATTTCTTAATCTGCTAAATTTTCTCTTGCAGGATTATCAATGATTCTTCCATTATTTTCAAAGCCTGCTCTCTTGACCCGCCTCACTTCTATATTTTTAGGCTTTGCTCCTACCTTTCTCCTCTTATCAATCGGGTACTTTGTTTTCCTCAATTTATAATGCTGTAATTTTTCTTTGTTGCTTTTGCATGACTTTGATATTCTGTTTCGTTTTACTTTTTCTAGATGAATATTTTGAGATTATTCTTTATATTTCTTTTACATATTTGTTTTACAGATATGAAGCTGTCTTCTACAGCGCTCTTGCTTTAGTACTCATGGGATGGATTTTGGTAGAATGTACATTACTGAGTTTGAGTATGGGCAAAAAATCTCCTTTCATCGGAAATCTTGAAGACAAGTTGATCAGTCAACATGATACTTTTTTAATTCTATCACACATCAGGATTCCGTTGGCTTTTGTAAGTCTTTTCAAGTTATTATTCATATTCATGAAATGACAATGCTTCCCTTCTTAAGAGTTTTGTGAAAATTGCTCGAAAATAATCTTTTGTCCGAGCAACATTGTATGTCAGATCACTTCAATTATTTATTTCTATAATCATTAAAGCTTTTCATATATTCTTCAAGTAGGTTTTATGTTTTCTGAGTATGTTACAGATTTTTGTCCCGGACGTTGATATTTTAAATAACCTTTTACATGTAATCGCACAAAAAAAGGACAAAGATAATATATAAATACTGACATTCATACATACATTTAATCAATTAAGCAGGTATCAAGGAGGAAGACCTTCAGCAGGTTTTTTAAAATTTTCTTTTATCTAGTATTTAATCAATCAGAAATGATCAAGCATAACCAAAATATTACTATAAACCATTTTTTTAGAAAAGTACAAGTGATTTGAAAGAATCTATATAGTGGGGGCGGGATTATAAACTACGAGGTCGAAGATAATACTACTCCATTCTGCTACTCGACCTACTAGTTGGTGATTTAGTTCTTTCTTCTATAGCCAATTTTGAAAATGATGTTGAAAAGTATTGATTATCTTTATTTGTCGTTCTCCTCTACTTGTCTAAGTGTGAGAGTACATTCTATTTATAAGGTGGAGTTCGCTCCTAACGAGAGTAGAGTGGTCTTCAAACTTAAGATTACGCTATTGGTTGTGATGTGTCAAAAAAATAAGGAGTAAAGTGCCAAAATAGTTTTCCGACTATCCAAAGTCCAAAAATGTAGTTATTATTACAATCTCTCTTTTCGGCTGCGTGCCGGGGGCGGCTGTACTCAACCTATGAGGTCAAAAATAATATTGCTCCATTCTGGTACTCAACCTACTGGTTGGTGATTCAACTCTTTCTTCTATAGCTAATTTTGAAAATGATGTTGAAAAGTATTGATGATCTTTATTTGACGTTCTCCTCTACTTGTCTAAGGGTAAGAGTACATTCTATTTATAAGGTGGAGTTCGCTCATAAAGAGAATAGAGTGATCTTAAAACATAAGATTACGCTATTAATTGTGATATATGTCAAAAAAAATAAGGAGTAAAGTGCCAAAATAGTCTTCCGACTATTTACCTGGGGTCATTTTAGTTCCAGAGTCCAATAATGTGTTAAATTAGTGTAATAACAGTTTTAAGAAACCAGTTTAAATCTTGACAACTTAAAATGTACCCTACATTTCACATCCTTTAGATTTCAATTGAGTCAATTTTATAAAATTCTACACATCACATCGATCAATTTGATATAAAGCACTATATATGAAATATGTAAGAGATAAAATTTTGAAAATATAAGTTTAATTAAATAATTAAACTTTAATTAATCTTAATCCTACATCTTCACTGTTCACTATGGACTCAATCTGGCGATAATTAGCTCTGGGTCTGGATCGAAGGTTTGGAATCCTTTGCAGAGCCTTCACGGTTCATCCTTCCCCTCTCCTTGTCGCTCGATAGAAGAATCTCGCAAGCAGGCACGATCCTGCATTGTAGCAGGAGTGAACTAGCGAGTGGCTGAGACCCAAGGCTCCAAGGAGGTAAAGGTGAGTGGGAAACCCTCTTTTATGATTTTTCAAACATTAATTTCATTCCTTGCACTTACATTTTGAGATTTTGAGAATCTCGCAAGTGTTCCTGTACTCAACCTACGAGGTAAAAAATAATACTGCTCCATTTTGGTACTCGGCCTACTGGTTGGTGATCCTGCTCTTTCTTCTATAGCCAATTTTGAAAATGATGTTGAAAAGTATTGATGATCTTTATTTGTCGTTCTCCTCTACTTGTCTAAGGGTAAGAGTACATTCTATTTATAAGGTGGAGTTCGCTCATAAAGAGAATAGAGTGATCTTAAAACATAAGATTACGCTATTAATTGTGATATATGTCAAAAAAAATAAGGAGTAAAGTGCCAAAATAGTCTTCCGACTATTTACCTGGGGTCATTTTAGTTCCAGAGTCCAATAATGTGTTAAATTAGTGTAATAACAGTTTTAAGAAACCAGTTTAAATCTTGACAACTTAAAATGTACCCTACATTTCACATCCTTTAGATTTCAATTGAGTCAATTTTATAAAATTCTACACATCACATCGATCAATTTGATATAAAGCACTATATATGAAATATGTAAGAGATAAAATTTTGAAAATATAAGTTTAATTAAATAATTAAACTTTAATTAATCTTAATCCTACATCTTCACTGTTCACTATGGACTCAATCTGGCGATAATTAGCTCTGGGTCTGGATCGAAGGTTTGGAATCCTTTGCAGAGCCTTCACGGTTCATCCTTCCCCTCTCCTTGTCGCTCGATAGAAGAATCTCGCAAGCAGGCACGATCCTGCATTGTAGCAGGAGTGAACTAGCGAGTGGCTGAGATCCAAGGCTCCAAGGAAGTAAAGGTGAGCGGGAGACCCTCTTTTATGATATTTCAAACATTGATTTCATTCCTTACACTTCCATTTTGAGATTTGTCAAGAATTGTACATCTCTTTCGTTTCTGGTCGTCTTGACGAAAACGAGGTTGTGTCGGAAGCAAGGAACTTGATTTATGAACTTCTGTAAGGGGCTTTAGTGAGAACTTGGTGAAGTTAGGAGAGGAATAAGGTGATAGAGAGAAAAGGGAAGAATATTTGACAGTATCAGAAAGGTTGGGTTATTTCGTGAAGACGTTTAAGGTACTTTTTGACAAATGAATTATGTTTTAGATTAAATCACTTTATGAGCCAAGAAATTATGAAAATCTGAGATATTTACAAATTTTAGGTTATTTGTTCGAGATGGCAAGCTCGATGCGAGCGTGTGAAAATCATTCTTAGAGCGGCTTTACCAATTTTAAATAAAATAAATATGTGCTAACTTTAGAAGAATAATTTAATTAACAGTAATTTACTTGAATCTTAAGGTTGATATTATGTTCTAAAGGTTGTTAAGGTCAACATAAAGGTTATCATGACTTCCAGCTAGTTACTGAAGATTGAGAATTTGACGTGACAATCGAGGTGAGTAATTACATTTCTAAATTTTAGTATTCTTATTTATTTCAAAATGTATGTTTGACTGTATGGATGCTCAAGCTCAGTTAGATTTAAATTATAATTGATTCTTCATATTATTAGGCATGAAAGATACGCATGATAGAAAAATATATACAAAATTTGCATGAAATGCATGATATGTATGATGTACATGATATGCATGATAAGCATGATGATAAAGATATGCAGGATAAATAGTTGTGCATGAAAGGAAGTATGCATGTTAGTAGATAAATAAAGTTATCTTAGAAAAATGTATATTATGAAGAATGAAATATCTTATTTACGAATGTTTGTATGTGCATGTTAAGAGGAGGAATTCACCCCTTAATAATATAAACAGGGGACACCAATGTACCTGCATACGTGGTTGCTTTTGCATCACCTCAAACAATTGTGATGTGATCATTAATCCCTATGTCGATGGGAAAATATAGGTCAGAGGAGAGTATTCAAAGCTCACGTTCTTAGACAATTATGATGTTTAGATTGTTAATCATTGTGGCGATGTGATAATATCAGTTAGACACAGATAAATGTTTTTTCACCTCAGACAGTTGTGATGTTTAGATTGTTAATTGTTGTGCCGACGAGATAATATTAGTCAGGGTTGTATCAAGTTGTTTTGATGGTGATCCTTAAAAGACAAATGTGTATTTTAAGAATATAAATTAAAACTAAAATTAAAATAAATGTGTGTAGAAGTTTAGAATTTTTTTTTTGATTATGGTAATTAGTACATGTATTGGAATAGTATAAGATTTCTTATATAAATTTGAAAAACCGGCATGTTATAAGATTATTGTAGAAATATGAAACATTAGCATGCATATTTTCTTTTCATTGAGTTAATCTAGTTTAGAAGTGTGATTACTCTGTGTTATATTTAGATAACTCATATTTTAATCTTTTCTTTTTTGATTTTAAACTTTTAAATAAAATGAATAAAAGGTGAGTTAATATATACAAAAGACGAGAACAATAATCAGAAAGTTAAAAACTGCTACTCATTAATCCTTAATGACTATTTCATGAATATTTGAATATTTGACGGTTAATAATAGAAATAGAATAACAGAGAATTTTTTTACACTGACAGTCCATTCTCGTCTTAGTTAATTCCAAGTCTCGGGTCAGGCCGTGTCAATTTGTCCTTTAAAATAATCTTTGGACTAAATTGACACTTTTTTATACTTTGGGACTAAGATGAACCTCAACAAAAGCTAAAAAGACCATTTTGACACTTCTGTAAAAAAATAAGTATTAATCAACTTTAATTAATTTTCATTATAATTGAGTTCATCATGCGTGTTAAAAAAATATCGGACGACATATAGAAGTCTTCTTAAATGCCCAATTTTATTTATACATTTGTCGATTTTACGAATTTCCACTCGACTATGTTGATATATATATATATATATACAAATGACGTCGTCTTCCGTCTCGCTCGGCTCTGCTAGGGTTTCGTCTCATGACGAACCTTAACAATTGTTACGGCTTCGCTGCTTCTTCTCCGACGTCTTCGTGCCTGACTCTGTTTCGTCTCCCCGTCTTCCGGTCTTGCGAGTTTTGCTCTGCGGCGCAGCTTGTCTCTCGTCTTCCCGTCTCGCGAGCTTTCCCGGCTCGGGAGGTCCCGGCTCTGCGGCTCGTCTTCCCATCTCGCGGGTACAAATCGCGATTTCTGCTACTCGTCCTGCTTTACAGCATGTTCTCCTTTCCAGCTTCGGTTGTTTCGACGCGATTTTTTCTGTGTTTATTAAAGTTGCTTTCTTCTTAACGCTACACCTCTATCTTTAAGGGTGGCTTCAGACAGATTGTATGCAGCTGCCCTTGTGGGTGTTCACGCCTTAGGTACACCTAAATCATGTTTTTTCCCTCCTTTGTTTGAGTGGGTGGAGGACATCAAGAAACCT